AAACAAGAGGTCATTAAAAAGACAGGAAAGAAAGAAAATACCAAAATGTATGTCAGAAAAGACTCTGAAACCTGCTCTTGAACGTCGAGTAGCTAAAGCAAACGGAAGAAATGATGAAGTAGAGGAACTGAAGATTTCAAAGGGTGGCTTGAGAAGACAAAGTGAAGTATTATAATGACATGTGCAAAGAGCTGGAGATAGAAAACCAAAAGGGAAGAACACGTCTGGCATTCCTCAAGCTGAAAGAACTGAAGAAAAAATTCAAGCCTCGAGTTGCAATAGTGAAGGATTCTATGGGGAAAATACTAAACAATGCAGGAAGCATCAAAAGAAGATGGAGGGAATACACACAGTCATTATACAAAAAAGAATTGGTTGATGTTCAACCATTTTAAGAGGTAGCATATGATTAGGAACCGATGATACTGAAGGAAGAAGTCCAAGCTGCACTGAAGGCATTGGTGAAAAACAAGGCTCCAGGAATTGACTGAATATCAATTGAGATGTTTCAACAAACAGATGCAGTGCTGGAAGTGTTCACTCATCTATGCCAAGAAATTTGGAAGACAGCTACCTGGCCTATCAACTGGAAGAGATCCATATTTATGCCTATTCCAAGAAAGGTGATCCAACCGAATGTGGAAATTATCAAACAATATCATTAATATCACACGCAAGTAAAGTTTTGCTGAAGATCATTCAAAAGTGGCTGCAGCAGTATGTCGACAGGGAACTGCCAGAAATTCAGGCCAGATTCGGAAGAGGATGTGGAACCAGGGATATCATTGCTGATGTCAGATGGATCCTGGCTGAAAGCAGAGAATACCATAAAGATGTTTACCTGTGCTTTATTGACTCTGCAAAGGCATTCGATTGTGTGGATCATAACAAATTATGGGTAACGTTGAGAAGAATGAGAATTAGAGAACACTTAATTGTGCTCATGAGGAACGTGTACACAGATCAAGAGGCAGTTGTTTGTACAGAACAAGGGGATACTGCGTGGTTTAAAGTCAGGAAAGGTGTGTGTCAGGGTTGCATCCTTTCACCATACCTATTCAATTTGTATGCTGAGCAAATAATCTGAGAAGCTGGACTATGTGAAGAAGAAAGGGGCATCAGGATTGGAGGAAGACTCATTAACAACCTGTGATATTCAGATGACACAATATTTCTTGCTGAAAGTGAAGAGGACTTGAGGCACTTACTGCTGAGGATCGAAGACCACAGCCTTCAGTATGGATTACTCCTCAACATAGGAAAACAAAAATCCTCACAACTGGACCAATAAGCAACATCATGATAAATGGAGAAAAGATTGGAGTTGTCAAGGATTTCATTTTACTTGGATCCAGTCAACACCCACAGAAGCAGTAGTCAGGAAATCAAAAGATGCATTGCATTGGGCAAATTTGCTGCAAAAGACCTCTTTAAAGTGTTGAAAAGCAAAGATGTCACCTTGAAGACTAAGGTGCACCTGACCCAAGCCGTGGTTTTTCTCAATCGTATCATATGCATGTGAAAGCTGGACAATGAATAGGGAAGACCAAAGAAGAATTGACGCCTTTGAATTGTGGTGTTGGCGAAGAATATTGAGTATACCATGGACTGCCAAAAGAACAAACAAATCTGTCTTGGAAGAAGTATAACCAGAACGCTCCTTAGAAGGAAGGATGGCGAGACTATGTCTTACATACTTTGGACATGTTGTCAGGAGAGATCGGTCCCAGGAGAAGGACATCATGCTTGGTAAAGTAGAGGGTCAGCGAAAAAGAGGAAGACCCTCAGTGAGATGGACTGACATAGTGGCTGCAACAATGGGCTCAAGCATAACAATGACTGTGAGGATGGTGCAGGACTGGGCAGTGTTTCGCTCTGTGGTGCATAGGGTCGCTATGAGTCGGAACCAACTTGACGGCACCTAATAACAACAAATAAAAATAAGCAAAGGATTTGAATAGACACTTCAACAAAGAATATTTACAAATGGCAAATAAGCGCATGTAAAGATGCTCAAAATCATTAGTCATCAGGGAAATGCAAATTAAAACCACAATAAGACACCATGGCGCACCCCTAGAACGGCTGAAATGACTGACAGTACTGAATGCTGGTTGGACTGCTGAGTAACTGCAACTCTTATGATTGTGGTGGGAATGTAAATTGGTACAGCCACTTTGGAAAATAGTTTGGCAGGTTTTTAGAAATTTAAACATACACTTACCGTATGACTCACCAATCCCACTATGGGAATTTACTCAAGAGAAAGGAAAACTTGTGTCCCCACAAAGGTCTGCATATTAATGTTCATAGCAGCTTTATTCATAATAGTCCTAGACTGGAAACAACCCAAATATCTATCCATTGGTGTAAGGATAATCAAATATGGCATGTTTATACAATGGAGCAATAAAAAAGGAATAAGCTACTGACATATGGATGAATTTAAATGAAAGGAGCCAGACACAAAAGACTACATACTGTATGTTTCCGTTTATATGATATTCTGGAAAATGCAAAACTCTTGTGACAGAAAGCAGGCCAGTGGCTTCAAGGGGCTGGGGGTGGAGAAAGGTTATTCTGCAGAAGGACATGAGGGAATTTTTCTGGATAATGAGGATGTTTTATATTACGATTGTGGTGGTTGCTGCATGACTGTATATATTTGTCAAACCTCACCGAGCTGTACACTTAAAACTAGTGAATTTTATTGTATGCAAATTATACTTCAATAAAACTGATTAAATAAAATAATACATCATAATACAAAAAGGAAATGTCATATTGCAACTATAAACTACGGCTGAAGGAGAGAGACTCCCGTTCCTCAAAGGCCAATGAAATTGCTTTTATATTTTTTTATAGTTTGCTTCCTTTATGGCAGTGTTTCCCAAATTTCAGTCAGTTGTATACCTCTTACATGTTTTTTTACTTTTGCTATATTAGAGTAGTATTTATTTAATATTTTTCTTTAAATTGATGAGCTGTTTTTACTGATATAAATCTAATACTTTATAAATATACATTAAATGGAAACCATTATCACTGTCGTAAGCAGAAGGTAATTCTAAAAATAAATATAAACTTATTAAAATAAAAATATCCATCCATATAGCACCTAAAATCATCTGGACTACTATTTTTCAAGTTATACTCAATGTCCCTGTTTTTTATACTTCTTGTCTTCTTTCTTTGATAATATTTCATTTCACTGGGGTATGCCCTGGAATAACTTTTTTAATACAGTCTGCATTGTTAGTAAATTTTTTGAATCTTTAAATTTCTGAAATTGTTTTGTATTTTCCCTTACACTAGTTGATAGTCTGAATTCTAGCCAACTTTAAAGGCATTGCTCTGTTGTTTTGTATTGTTCAGTGGCAGGGATGAAAAATATGATGCCATTTTGATAGTTATTCTTTTGTAGGTAACCCATGTTTTCCTTCTGAAAGCCTTTAGGATTTTGTTTTCAGCTTTGGGACACTGGGCCCTTTGGATCTGAATACTCATTGCTTTCCTTGACTCATGTCGATTTTCTTTTATTTAAGAATAGAGTCATGTTACCTGCTTATTAACAGTAATGAAACTTTAGAGGAATCCAAAAGTATATCTTATGTAAACATCATTCATTGGATTGTTATCTTAAATAACTTTGTATAAAATGAACCCTCTACAGACTAAAGGAGATAATGTATAGGAAAGCAGTTTCAAGTACTGGGTTCTTTACAAACAGGTGGTATCAGATTTTCTCTAGATGAGTTGGCAGTGTGGATGCATATTAAGATACTTCTAAAGCCACCCAGGCTCCGTTACTACAGTCCTGATTGTATGGTGGAAGGAGCACCAGATAAGAATTTAGGACACCTAGGATTTAGGCTACTAATCTTCTGTGTAACTTAGAATAAGAAATTTCAGCTTTGGATTTTTATGTAAATAAAGAAAAGGACTGGATTATTACTAAAGTGTCCTCTGTCTCTAAAAATTTGATGATTCCATGTAGGGTCTCTGAGTCTTAATCCACTCGACCACAATGGGTTTGGTTTTTTTTTTGGTTTTGGTGATTCTATAATTGTCCCTCTACACCTTGATTTAGTAACACCAACTGTTTCTTTTAGCAGTTTTAGTTACTCGTTTACCAGTGACAGATTGAGAGTTATTGAAAACGCTGTCTCGATATTATACCACAACCCATTGCCGTGGAGTCAATTCTGACTTACAGCGAACCTATAGGACAGAGTAGAACCTCCCCGTAGGGTTTCCAGGGAGTGGCTTGTGGATTCAAACTGCTGACCTTTTGGTTAGCAGCCGAGCTCTGAACCACTATGCCACCAGGGCTCTGACCAATATAACTGCCACTTACCTAAAATATTTCACAACCTTTTAAAAACAGGTTACATTTGTTTGACAATTCTTCTTCTTTTCTACCTTTTTTTCTGCTTAAGGTTGCTGTGCATTATTTTTTGACTTTTCAAATACCCATAAACACCTTATACGGTGAATATTACAATATTAAGGAAGCTAAGATTATGTATAGAGGGTATTGGTGGTTCCATGGTAGAATTCTTGCCTTCCATGTAGGAGACAGGGGTTCGATTCCTGGCCAATGCACCTCAAGCACAGCTACCACCTGTCATCATTGGAGGCTTGCATGTTGCTATGATGCTGAGCAGGCTTCAGTGGAGCTTCCAGACTAAGACAGACTAGGAAGAAAGGCCTGACAATCTACTTCCAAAAATCAGTCAAAGCAAACCCTATGGATCACGAGTCAATCCTGTTGCACATGTGTTTGCCATGAGTTGGAGCTGACTCGAAGGCAGCTAACAACAACAAAGATTATGTATATACAGATTTCTTTGCTAACTGGCAAAGTGAAGTAGTAGTTATTGTGAGAACGATATTTATTTAGGTTTTTTATCTCTTTAATAACTTGAAAGAATAAAATAATCTTGGGAGATATTCTTGCATTACAAGTAGTTTAAAATTAAAACTTCTTTTTTTATTAGGTGTTTTTTTCACCAAAAGAACTCACATCACCATCTCTCAGACCAAGACATACAGAAAGCAATACACAATATCAGGTGAGTCCTGAGTTATTCTATCCCAATATCAATTATATTTAACTACATCGTTTCTCCAATAACCCACTGCCATCAAGTTGATTCTGATGCATAGTGACCCTATAGGACAGAGCAGAACTGCTCCATGGGGTTTCCAGGGCTGTAATCTTTACAGAAGCAGACTGCCACATGTTTCTTCTGAGGAGCAGCTGGTGGGTTCAAACGCCAACCTTTTGGTTAGCAGCAAAGCACTTAACCACTGCACCACCAGGGTTCCTCGTGTTTCTTCAATACTTTAAGTAATTGAATAGTTCTAAAACCTGGCTCAGAGATCCTGGGTGGCCAGCATGCTCAGCTGCTAACCGAAAAGTTGAAGGTTCTAATCCACCCAGGGATGCCTTGGAAAAAGGCCTGGTGATCTACTTCCAAACAAAATCAGCCTTCGAAAACCCTATGAACCACAGTTCTACTCTGACACACGTGGGGTTGCCATGAGTTGGAGTTGATTTGACAGCAACTGGTTTTTAAAACCTGGTGACCCATTAGAAACACTTGGATATCTTTAAAAAAAAAATATTCCCAGGTCCCACCCTTGACCTACTGAATCACAAATCTGGAGGTGGAACCAGAGAATTTGTATTTCTCAAAAAACCTAGGGGATTCTTATGATGCCACCTGGGTATCAAGTAGCATTTGAAAACCAGCTGTACGCATTAAAATGAACTTTGAATTACTAAACTGAAATAAACTAAAACAAGTATTAAGCTGATTATTTCACATTTTGTTTTTTTCAATTGGATACTGAAGAAGTTGTATAAGTAAAGGGTTTGAATAGAGATTTCATTTTAAAGGGTGTTTCAATAATAGAATAGCCTGATCTCAGAGCTATAAAACTGCTTATGGATATTACACTAAAATTTCACTGTAACATGAAGTTTTTTTGTACTGGTCTCAACCATTTCTTCAATAACGATTCATCAAAAAGCAAGATTTTACTGTGACATATTAAGTACTAGGTGGAGCTCATCATTGTTGAAACTTCCAGACTTAAAGGCAGTTGATATATGCCCCAAGTCAGTCTTTAGAGAATGTTTATGATACTTTTAATGGGACATCTACTTTTTCTACACTGCTACTAAATTGGTAAATATTTACATGGATAAGACTTAGATCCTGACAGTAGTCACTATTTAAGCAAATACAGCTAATGCTGGAAATTGACACAACTATTTGTGGATGGCTTTTAAAAAATATTCCAGGTAGCAAAAATCACATAGACAAAAAATAGTGTTCAAATTAAAAGAGAAAATTTTCATTTTTATTCCAATTTCAGATAATTTAAAAGAATTAAAATTGGTTTTCTCCTCCTTATAGATGGTAGGAGAATGAATAGATACATTGACAGTTTGCTCAAAGAAAACTAACTTGAAAATTCATTATAAATTCAAAATAAATGCTACAGAAATTCTTTTTTTTAATATTACAATTACAGACATTCAACATCAAGGATGGTTTTGATCCTTTTTTAAGGAATATAAACAACAGAATGTCAGTCAGAAAAAGGAAAGACCAAGATATGCCTAAATGTAGAAAAATTTTAAGTGCAGAGGTTATAGAGCATGAAGACCAAGATCCTCCTTACCCAGCACAATCAAAAACTGCAGAACCTACTAACAAAATCTGGGCTCATGATCCTGATATCATCACAATAAAGCCTTTAGACACTAAATTAAAAGGAAGACTACCAAATGTATCTTTATCAAATTTTGAAGGAGAATCATCAATGACTGCAAATGTAGATACATGTCGCCTCTCAAAGTCATTAAATCTTACCTCCCATACAGAAAATTTAAAACAATCAATGGTGCTGAAGTCAATTTTAAGTAAAAACCTGCAAGACCATTTAGATGAATTATTTTCTAAACCAGAAGTTCCTATGGACATCGAAGTAAGAAACAAAAACCATAGATCTCCATTTCTGAGTGTTCATCATGATAAATCAACAAGTAGTTTGGAAGACAAAGTATTGGAAAAAATCCAAGACTTAAAAAGTTGGCTTCCAGAAAAAGATATTTTAAATTCAAAGTCTCTTTTAAGTCAAATAATTAACAACACGCCTACAGATTCACTTTCAGAAGGTGGATCAGGAAAATCTACAGAAGTAGAAAGCGAACATAGCTCTGCAAAAGACTTGGAGGCTGGTGTACAGGACTATGTTATAAAGCAAATATTCACCTCAGCAATCTCCTCAGATTTGGAGAGAAGAGTGAAAGGGCCCAGTGGAAGAAAGCTGAATGTGCAGGATCAATTACCCACAGCTTGGGAGAGAAGTTTGCCTTCGCATAATGGCGCTCACTATGAAGAAAAAGATGATGAAGAATTGTCACAGTCCAAATCTGCTATAAATCAGATAATGCAAGCATCTCCTGTAGATACTCTTTTAGAATCTGGGTTAATCAAAGTGACAGAATTAGATAAAGAACACCAAGAGAGTTCTTTGGGGGATTCAGAAAAAGTGTCTCTTGAAGAAAAGCCAAACTATTCCACAAAGGAGTATTCAAAAATCAAAACTGAACCTCTTTCAGAGCAGAATATACCCGCCATTCCCAAAGAAGCCACTTGTGTTCTCGATACAGTTGAATTTGTAGAGGAAGGTCAAAATATACCCCCACAAGATTCAAAATATCATTCAATATTAGATATAAAAACAGATTTACCAAGGAATGGTCAGAGGCTTTATAAAGAAGAAAGTGATCTTAATACTACTTTGGAAAATTTAAGCAACTTGTTAATGGATAAGCTCAATGAGTCAGATACAATAATATTAAAATTCTGTTTAAAATACATCCTCAATGTTTTTTTCAAATACAGGCAGTCTGAAAGAAGAAGACAACCAGAAAGAGAATTACAAAGACTAATTCAACATTCTTTTACAAATAACACAGAAGACCCTGAAGAAATCAGAGAGAATTTTGACGAAGCAGACAAATTAGATAGAAAACCTATTTTGAACCCAAAGCTCTGTGTATTTCTAGAAGAACTCTCAGAGTCAGAAATAAAAAATTTTAAAGCTGAATTAAGTAAACATATCCAGCATTACCTTGTAGAAAGACTTTCAGAATCAGGACATATCACCAAGGACAACTTACCAAAAATCTATCAAAATCTGTATTTGCTGAATCAGAAATCAGAACCAAGAGGGCAAGACATTTTTCAGGAGAAATATTCAGAAACTGTGAAAGAAATCATGTCTTTTATAAATAATTTTCATCGTCATTTCATAGATAAACATTTAGAAATAAAGCTAAGGTCTTTTTTAAGTGAAATTCTCAAAAACTATTTCCTAGAAAACTTTTCAGAAAGCAAGTCATTTAAAGAGACAGAACCTGCGAGTATACTCTCAAGCACATCTTCTCTGAGAACTGAAAGTGCCTCAATATCTTTACATAACTCAGGACAAGATATTTCAAGAGGGAATTTTGGTAGAAGAAGGCTTGAAATAAACTCGAAATATCCTTTAAATAAATCTCTACAAAACTACCTTATAGCTTTACCAGAAAATGAACTATTAAATCTAAAAGCTGATTTAAGTAAACACCTCCAGAGCCTTTTTATAGAAAAACTTTCAAAATCTGGACTAATCACAAAGAGGCAATTAGAGGAGATCAACCAGCATACAAATTTGATTAATTCCAGTTCTACACCATTAAAATGTATAAAGACAGATTTGTCTTTTAGAGATGAAGGTAAGCTTATGGAGGAGCATTCAGAGAAGCAAAATAAATATTCAAACATTGCTCAAAAAAACACTTTACAAAAGATTCCTGAGGATAGACTTATAGAAACAGAACTGATCAGAATGGAAGAAACAGAATATTTTCCTTTGCACAATATTAAAGAAAATCTATCAATAATTAGGGAACAGAAAAGATATTACTCTGAAGAAGGAGCTAACACGCTAAGTTTAATAAAAGTATACCCTTCTTCCAACAAAAATATACAGGAGATTCCATTAAATAAGTCATCAGAAAGACTTACAAATATAATGTTTAAGAATCAAGGGAAAGAACATGACTTCATACAGTTCCCTCGAGCAGAAAATTCTGTTTGTAAAGCAGAGACTCAAGATCCATATAGTTGGGGTGGTAAATCAAAAATAATTCAATCAAACGCTTGCTTTGAAAGGACACTGAAAATGAAGTCCCTTGAAAAAAAGGAGCATGTTAACATCTGTAAACTAACCGTAGAGAAAAAACCCGAAGCAGGACTGTCACCGAATCCAAGAGTTCCGAATTGCAAAGTGCCAGATGAAGATGAGTACTCAAACAGACTTACTTTTCCCTCATGGCAGAGACACACTTTAACTCATTTCAACTCAGAGGCTGGGGAGACATCAAGATTAGAAGCCCAGTATTGTCAGAGATTGAAAGGAAATAATAACAACAATAAAAAACAACATTCAGTAACATTTACAGAATACAAGAAAGAAATGCAAACCCCTTACAAAAAAACAACTGAAATTTGCAATGAAAAATGTGCCAACATCCCTAAATCACAATCTTTTAAATGTAATGTTTTAGAAGTTGACAAAATCTCAAAACCATCCCTATTCCCAGAAGTATTAAAGAGAAACAGTCTAAAGCCCAAGGTCCGAAAAGAAAGAGATCATGTCAGCAAACAAAAGTCATTTAGCAAGATAGTTAAGATATCACCAACCACACTGCCCCCAGCAAGAATCCATCTAAAGAAATCTATTCCAAGGACATTGCTTCATTGGACTGCAAGAACAATTACACATGTAATAATGTTTTTCTAAGTCTTCTATATTTGGTAAAGTTCTATAAATAATTTACTTTAGGATATATATGTCTGTATGCAAGTGTGTGTGTAGCCTTAATTGCCCCCAAGACATACAGACCTCAAAATTAAAAAAAAAAAATTCTTAAACTCAGTTATCACCTCAGCTGATTCAAAATGCAATCACAAAGCAGAGGGACTTAACACAGCTGGTGTCTTTGTATGAATTAGATCAAGGGAACGCTCTCTAGAGCATGAATTAGAAAAGGCACCCTTTCTTCCGGGCAGGCCCTCCAGCCTGACATAGGCTGGAGCCAGGGCACATGGCCCTAACTGTGAAAAACTGGCTAGATTTCAGCCCTGACTCACCCCTCAGCAAGGGGTTGTACAGGCAGGCACAACCTGTACAACTGTTGGCAGTGGTCACAGAACTGGAATTTTCTTTCTCATGTAGATATAAGTATAAATATATAGTTTTTTTCCCCAGATAGTTAGCTTATCTTTGTCTCAGTAAATAAATATGAAGCTCCTACTATGTGCCAGTTATTTTTTAAGACTTAAGGATCTGCAAAATTTATAATCTACTGGATTATGAATTGCAAAATTTTAACTTCTACTTTTTTCACTACCACCCCTCTGCTATATCATGTGCTGTGAGAAATGTGGGAATTCAAATCTATTTTTAATATTAACATAAATAAAACAAATATAAAGGTAAATTTGCTACTAGACTTTAAATAAACCTTTGTAAAACAAAGTTAAAATACAGGAATGCAAGAGACTTAATTTTCTGGATCACTGCTCTTTGTTAGTATGGATGAGCAGACATGACCCATAATTGGGAAAACTTCTAAGTTCTAAAACTGATATTAAATTGATAATTTGATGTGCATAATTCTGCCTTTGAATGAAAAAGTTGATTACTTTCAGAATAGTAGATTTGAATTTGTTTTCTACAGTAAAGCAAATCATTAGCTTTGAAGTGTCAGGGTAAATATTATCAGTATAGCTTACCTTCTAGCTTGGATTTTTCTTTCCTAAAAATAATTCAGTATTGAAGTATATATGTGTGTGTGTGTGTGTGTGTGTGTGTGTGTGTGTATACGTACTAGGAAAACAAAGTAGAAGACAATGGGCTCATAGTTTTTGGAGAGCAAAGACTTTCTCAAGTTCCTTTAGACAAATGCAATCTAAAATATCACATTTTAAAAGGAAACAAGAAATTAAATCTGTGTTAAATGGTATGAGATTATATAGGATCTCCAAACCACTACTTCATTGCTGGGTACTGAAAAACAATGCCCTTAAGCTTAGAGTAGTCAAAGGAGAGCTACCTTCATTTTCTCTGTCAAACCAGGCGTACCTAAACTTTTCTCTCTAGTGAAGTTGACAACAGGAAGTGAGTGGTCTAAGAGGGCATTTGTCAGATGATCAGAAAGGCTTATTCATCTGGATTTTCTCAAATCCAGGCATCTCCCAAAGGAATCAAAACAGAAGACAGAAAAATTGAGTTGTAGGAGCACCTAGAAGACAATAACTATTGGTGTGGGCCTCCATGCCCTTCCACGGGCACTCCAGAAAGCAATTACATCAGTTCTGAGGCAAAAATTATATTCTTCAACAATATATCAGATATTCTCTTAAAAACATGGCTTACCTAATTATCCCATGTACTTAAGAGGGAAGAGAAAGAATGTTTCCTTGCCCTCTGCAAAACCAGGCAAAAATGTAAAGTAGATGGAATTTGCCTTTAGATTCTTCCTACCTCCTTTTTTATAACTTTTCTTTCTAGCTACCCTAATTCTTCTCAGTGCTGCCAACCTCCTCCCACTCCCCAGTTCCTCTCCAAATCAAAGTAGCCTATTCTCTTTGTGTGGCAGTCTGTGCAAGGTGTTGAGGCAACTGCTCAAACTGCTGAGTAAATTAACCAAAACCCATTGCTGAGGAGCCGATTCCAACTTAGGGCGACTCTGTAGGACAGGGTACAACTGCCCCATAGGGTTTCCAAGGAGCGCCTGGTAGATTCAAACTGTCAACCTTTTGAGTAAACTAGTTTACACTAATTTGAGAATGACTCCTACCCTTACTATTTCATCAACTTAGGTACCCTAATCTAGGCTAACTACTTCTCTGCTAATTAGACATTTTTAAATAACATTTCAAAGTACAACTTCATACAACTTTTTTCCCATAGTTTGAGTTATTTCTTTAGACTAGATTTCCAGAAGTGAGATTACTGGATCAAAAGAGATTTGTACACACGCACACACGAATATATATTTATAATATGATATATAATATACTATAGGTATAATGTATATTTACATATATAAAGAATATGTTTATTAACTTAAAGAATGAAAGCTTAGATGACATGAAAAATAAAATGTAAGGTTCGGAATTCATATTTGGAGTTGGGGGAGAGTACTTTGGTGCAGAAGAACTACAGAACAGGCTGGTCAGGTTTGTCTAAGAGTCTGACCTCTGAGGACAGCTCCCCTAAGTTTTTCTGGTTTCTAACTTCATATCTTCCATCTATTTTGAAATTCATATCTTCGATCTATTTTGAAACAACAGATCCTTTGAAACAATAAGTTTTTTTAAGTACAGTTTCTAAGGTAGTAGTTAATGGGACTGCCTACAAAACATTTGATGCTGTCATTCTTTAACTATTGATATTACAAACTTTAGTCCTTGTAAATTTAAAATGCATTTTAAGAAACCCAGCTTACCAATCTGATCTTTTATTTTAATGTTTAGGATTGTTCAGATAAATTTGAGGATTTTCCTGTGACCTCATTTAAGCCTCTTGAAAAAACAAAATCAAGGGCAAGGCTTTTAGGAAAGAGACCAGATGATAGCCCAAATCAGTCAAAACACTCTGCAAGACCGCATACTGCTCCAGGGGGTAACAAACGACCGGAAGGCTGCAATGGAAAATTTAAAAGTCCTCGACTGGTTTCAGCAGGCTTAGTTCATATAAATGATACAATCTCGAATTATGAAATGCATAAAATGCAATAAAAAATCAATTAAAAGAGAATATTGAAAAATGTTCACTCATTTGTGATATTATCCAAATGTCAAACACTTCAGAATGACATATGAGGCCAGCAGTCATTAAGAATATCATTTCTCCCTTTAACAAAATGGTTTGAAGATCTGTCCTGTGTGATAGAAGTCAGCAACCAAATTTCATCTTGTTAGAACCATTTTGTTTTGATTAAAATGAAAAAGAAGCACTTTTGATGTAAATGTGTTTTTGTTTATGAGACCTTAGGGAACTAACATGGAATTACATATTCAGTTCATACTCATAAGATTTGTTTCCTAGCTCTTTCTTTTTTTCACTATATAATAGTATCTTAGACTTTCTAAGCCCTGTTATGCTCTAAATGATACTTATGTACCCAGTTTTCAGGTTTTCTATTTGTAGTTATTCATAGCCTTTTACTATTAATATACTTTGACTCTTCAGCTCTCATTGTATTTCTAGATCCCTTAACAATCTGCAGTTCTTTGGGCCAATAAACCTTCCATTAATTTTTGTTTTTCAACAGCAGGATTTCAGGCACCTTTATTCAGGGCAGATTACTGGTTAGGGAAGCCTGCCTTTAGAAACCTTCTTTTTTATTTACAGAAGCCAACTTCTACCTAAGTCCTGACTACCCTTACAACAGCAATAGGCCATATAGTTTCCATTTGCCATTTCCTAGGCTTACGGACACCTGTACACAGGCTTCACCTGGCCTGGCTAAAGCCTGGTGCTCTGGGGCTAACCTGCAGCACTCTGGCTGACCTGCGCTAAGTGGCAGAAGATAGTAATAGCAATCACTCCATTTTGTTACTGAAGGATGTTACTCCATTGTGTTCCCCATATAATTTATATGAGGCCAAATTATTCCTTAATTTTTTATATGTGTAATACAAACAACCAAGACTGGAGATAAAAGGAACTTTAAAAAACCATAGAGTGTTCATTGAGGATTTCTATGAAGCAACATACTATTCCTCAACTTCTTAAATTTTTCAATTTTTTGTTATATAAAATCACTTTGGGGTGACAATCACGTCATCAATATTGGCCTTTAGGTTGACGAATGACTGACACTGCATTTTTCAGTGGCAAGAGTTATTATCCCTGTCTTCTATAATCAGTAATAACATTGCTACTCTGCAAGTATTTAGTGAAGAGTTTAAAACAGGATTTTGTAAAAACCTGAGCCTACTACAAAGTCATCATCACTTTCTAGCCAAGCAGCTGGACTCAGTATGGTCTTTTACCCTTTTCTGTAGGTAATTTGTGTTTCTTTTTCCAATTAATAGTTCAAAGAAAAGATGGAATAATTGAGTTTTCAAATCCTGCCATTTTTTTAATGATAACTATCATAGATGAACAATATAGGGTTCTACTGAAGTATAAGAATCTCATGCAAAACTCTAACAAATGATGTCTCATTATGTTAGGCTATTCCATTATTTTCCATATTTAAAAATTCTAACACACTAAAGTGGCAGTAGTTACTTTTCATGGACTTTAGCATCTGATCTCAGGCACTTATAATAGAAATAGAGCCGCGGTTCAATTCTAAGGTTTGGTAACATAAGAGTGCCAGATATTTCTGAATAAACAAATTTTAAATGTTTTTGGCCATTTGAAAAGTATTACCAACACTCTATTTGGCGTTAGTTCAACAGTCACTTTGTGCTGAGTATTAAAAACCCCAAACTTGACTAATGTCTTACTTCACAAAGTCTAGTTATAATTGAAGGGTTTACTATTTGTCTAAGAAAAAAACCACACAGCAATTTTTATCAAATAGCAACTACTACAGAAGGAATGACAGAAAATGACTTCACAAAAAAAACTCTAAAATTTTAACAATTTTTTGTGGGAACTGCCAGAGTTTTAGTGTTTAATATTTAATAGCACAATCAACCAAGGTCCAAGATGTGAAGTTACCATGTTTAAGAAACTAGGGGAAAAATCACTCTGAAAACTAACTGTATGATTTATGGTAAGAACACACACTTTATAATATAATATAAAACCTGTCTACACATAGTAGTTAGGTGCACAAAGCCATTTGGTCTTCTCTTGGCTTGTAAAAACGATGTTCGAAATCTCAGTGTAAATTACCAGCAACCTTCAACTCTTTTGTGTGGCAGGGATCTTGTTTCCACCTTCCAGTTCTTCCACCCCAGCCTGGGTCGTGAGGTCTGCAATATTTCTCTCTGGATCATCAGTGCGACTACTCATGTCATCAATTCTTCCAATGATCTTGTCGGACATGGTCTGAAATTTATCTTGCATCTGTTGCAACAGTATCTGAACCACCGAGGTGAGATCTTGCACGGTCTTGGGGTAGGTCTTGGCCATCTCCCTGGTTCCCAGCTTGGTGGTGATGTCTCTGACCGTCACCTACACTTCCATTTGTCTGCCCCTTCCACTGATTTTAACATCATCTGATACTACAACTTTTTACACTATCAATAAAGATAACAAAGAACAGATGCCTAATTCCTGAGGCATCTTCTACACTGGAGTGATTTTGCTTACTCCAGAAATTGTGAAGGGGCATTTTTAATAAAACCAAACACAGGAAATTGCATAAAATTATAGAAATTGCATAAAATATAATTACTTAGCTAAATCAACCACAACTAAAAAACCAAACCTATTGCCGTCGAGTTGAATCTGACTCATAGCAACCCTATAGGACAGAGTAGAACTGCTCCATAGGGTTTCCAAGGAGCACCTGGTGGATTCAAACTGCCTACCTTTTGGTTAGCAGGCAAACTCTTAACCACTGCACCACCAGGGTTTCCAGCTAAATTAACACAGGATTTAAATCAGAGACTTCTAAGAATTGGTTCTATTTTTATCAATATCATATCTGGCTCTTGTTGAACTTTGCTCCATTCTTGAGAAAACTTCAATTTATAGAACTTTTGTCAGTTTCAATTTTTCTACTAAGAATCAGAAAGATGATGGGGTTTAAATAGAATTGGCTGATGGAAAACATAATTCCTGATTATTCATTCTATGGTATAATCAGAGTAGTGATTTTTTTTATGAAGACCAAGAATTTCCAGGAATTTTTAAAGTCGTCAGTACTTGTATCACAGTCTAACTAGGAGAACACAAATAACTCTAGATCTTTCAAATTGAAGGAATACAGTGAATTGGTTTCACTGGTGATGGAACCAAGACTAAGATGCCAAAAGGGAAGGTGAGGCAACCCAGAGATAAGCAAGAGCAGGAAGTACTACTCCCCTCAGAGGAAGGGACAGTAGGGAGAAGTGGTGTTACCAGAGTCCTAAAGCCATAAGACAGAGAAGACACAGCCACTAGCAGGGATGCCACTACAAACAGGGGAGTGTAAAAAGGGGCGAGAAATGCCATGTTTCTTCCCTCCTCCTCCTGCCCTCTGATCTTAAACTATTGCCTCCTATTAGGCACACCCACCTGGAAAAAAAGGTGTGTGAAAAATGTAGTTCCCAGTGAAGCAGAGAGTGTGGAAACAGATTCGAGAGCAAACAGGCAATTGACCAACAGTACTTATGAGGAAAACCAATGATCTAGTTTGCAGTAAAGGAGGAAATACTTACTAGATGGAAAAATCTCAAATCCTTTTGCCTCATTAAATGTTTTTGCGTGTGTGTGAAAATATGTACAACGAAACATTTGCCAATTCAACTATCTCTACATGTATAATTTAGTAACATCGATTACATTCTTCATGTTATGCAACCATTATCACTATCCTTTTCCATATTATTATACCACCATTAACATAAACTCAAAAACTTCCTTTCTCCCTCCTCCCATCCCTGGTAATCACTAATAATCTTTGGTTCCTATATATTTGCTTATTTCATATACATAAGATCATACAGTATTTGTCCTTTTGTGACTGACTTAATTTGCTCAGCATGTTTGCCAGGTTCATCCATGCTGTGCCATGCATAAGGACTTTATTTCTCTTTACGGCTGAGTAATATTCCATTGTATATCTATACCACATTTTGTTTATCCATTCATCTGTTGATGGACATTTCAGTTGTTTCCGCATTTTGGCCATTGTAAAAAGTGCTGCAGTGAACATTGGTGTACAGGTTTCTGCTTGTGTTCCTGCTTTCACTTCTAGGTATACATCTAGCATTGGGAACACCAAACTGTTTTCCACAGAGGCTGTACCATTTTACATTCCCAACAGCAATGCATGAGGACTCTTCATTAATTTTTTTTTTGTAAGCTAGGTTTATGAAATTTTTTGTTATTAACTACAGAGTTGTTTTATTTTTTCCCATACAAAAATTTATACATACATTGTTTTGTGACTCTAATTGCTCTCCCCATACTGTGACAGCACACTCCTCCTTTCCACCCGATTCCCCATGTCCATTCAACCAGTTCCTAATCCTCTCTGCCTTCCCATCTCACCTCCAGACAGAAGCTGCCCATTTAGTTTCTTGTATCTACTTGAGCTAAGACACACACTCCTCATGAATATCACTTTATGTCCCACAGTCCAGTCCAAACCCTGTCTGAAGAGCTGTCCTCGGAAATTGTTTTAGTTCTGGGCTGATAGAGAATCCAGGGTCCATGCTTTCTGGGGTTTCTCCAGTCTCAGTCAGACCATTAAGTCTGGTCTTCTTACTAGAATTTGAGTTCTGCACCCCACCTTTCTCCTGCTCCACCTGGGACTCTGTTGTGTTCCCTGTCACGGCGGTCATTGAGAGATAATTTTATAAAAATAAATTTCTACTGAAACACTGCACAAAAATTTTATAGACAGTCATTTTGGGGTCACCTCCTCTGACAGTGTCACCTGGTGTGGTCTGTGCCCCGATATCCGCATTGTGACTCCACTGAGCCAGAGGATGCTAGGAGAAATGTAGGGGTGGACTATCCAATAGGCACGGCAAGCACAGCACCCACCCTACCCACCAGACCATCTGTAGATTGGTAAGTAAGCACAAGTAAGCCTCTGCTTACCTTGTTTACTGAGTCACCAGCC